GTTCTTCGTAACATTGAAAATCTTTAGTTATAGCACGAATAAAATATAAAACTTGTGCCGAATCTGTTTTATCAGTGCTTTCATCTAAAGCAATTGAAAAATAAACATCTTCATTTTGTATAATGGACAATTGCAGCATCTTTTAAATTTTCCAAATTATAGTCATTACTTCTTAAGATTGATTTCCTGATTACGAAAATATAATTTTTAACTCTGACAAATAAATATTTATTTAATTATTAATATTTTAATTTGAGCGAAAACGCCCTCACTCGAAAACGACCGCTGATTGGTGTGACGTCATTAGAGCCTTACTCCTCACGACCTTCCCGTTGTTATTATGTATTTTCTTTCTTGCGGTTTTAACTAGCTCTTCTTTAACTTATTTTTTCCAAATTTTCCCGCGTGTATTTAAATGCGTATTTAGCAGCAAATATTTTGAAATCTATTGCATATATAGAATCAAAATGGAAGAGGGGTTTCAAAAAGCTCAAACGGACAATTTGCCGCAAGTTACTGAAGAGATGATTATGGATTTTTTTCGAACGAACCAAGATTTCATTTCGCCTGAAATCAAAGGCATAAAGGCTCAAAGGTATAAATTTGTTTATTTATAAACTGTAGCTGTAAATAAGGGCGTCGGCAAGGAGGTGCACTTACACTACCCTGGATTTTCTTTAAGCAATTAAAAATAAATAGAAAAGCAATTTAGTTATAAAATTTTATGTAAAAAATTGATTAATCAAACAAGAATTGCAATCATACAGAATAGTTTTAATCTTTTTTTTTGTGGGGATGGTAGTTTGTTAAAGGGTTGCACCCCCCTATATTTTATTCTACCGGCGCCCCTGGCTGTAAATAATTTTGTGTGTGAAAATGGAACGGCGATTTGTTATAACACATATAGGTACACGTTAAAATATAGCAAGGATTTAAGTATACTAAAAACATCTTTCCACTTTCATAAAAGTATAAAACTAAACGCTATTCTTACACACTAAATTATTATTACTCACAAAAACAAATAATTATACTTACTCACAAAATTATTATTATAAACGTTATACTTACTCTTTTATTAAAATTATTTTATTAAAAATTAATTTTAATAAAATGTATTATTTTATTAAAAATTAATTTGAATTAAAGTTATTATTTTATTAAAGACCAATTATAAACAACTTTGTAATAATTACAATCAATTTTATTAAAATTAATTTAGTTAAAAATTAATTGAAGTCAATTTTATTAAAAATAATTTATAAACGATTTTATAAAAATAAATAAGCTATTATTTTTATTAAAAATTATTGTTTTATCAAAAATTAATATTTAATAAAATAAAATTAAAGAAAATTAGATTCTAATTTATAAAAAAAATTAAAGAAATAGTCAGAGGCAAGCTAGTTATAGAATATTTTTACCCTTTCTACTGTCAAACATAAATACACATCTTCAATTTTAGTATATTTTACTTTAACTACACCTGCTAATGTTTTTTTATCGAATTTTTTTATTAAATTTAAAAATAAGTTTTGCTTCATAATATTTTTTAAAGTGTTAAATCCAAGGTGTAAATAATAACATGAACCATTTTGAAAGATACTGGTACATTTTATGAATGATGTATTAAAAATCAAAAAGATTTTTATTACATTATATTTTAAAGCGTCTAGTTATGCAGATAGTGTGCATATTGAAGGATTTAAAAAAATATAATAGTTTTTATCCCTATTCTGTAAAAAAAAGAAAAAATTAATGTATACTAAATTTTATATTAAATAACTATTTCATAATTTAAGGTTTCCAGAAACTTTTGGAATTTTTACGGAAAAGAAAGATATGAAATAGCGATTAACACAAACTAATATTACATGGACATAGGAAAGCTATAAAAAACTTCTTCTTCTTTATCGACACTATGGCCTTGGGGAGGCCAGGTCTGTCTCAATTGGTTGTTTAGTCTAATAAGATTCTGTTTTTCAGTTTTTAAATCATCTTTTTCACACA